ATATACACACACATATATGCACACATACCAGAGTTTTAGATTTATTTAACAGTGTTATATAATTAAGTCATCATCTAAGTAAGCATCTAATAAGTCTGTTGTGCCAACATTATCCTAATCTATTTTTTTGGCTGCTGTAGCTGCATTAAAAATTCTGGGGAAAATTTAAATGTAAGGCACTCCTGTTTTAGTTCAAAGTGTAGTTGGCTCTTTTACTTCACCACTGCTGCAGAAGTGTCAGAAGCCATAGCAATTGAGCATTCATAAAGTTTTATTGCTTAATGCATCCAATATTAGGGCTCAACGCTTACAATTAAATTTCCCTTTCTCGTTTATTTTTTATTGTTTTACACAATAGCTAACTTTCAAACAATCTGCCTCTGATTGAGATTTAACAACCATGCGGCTTGTATTACTGAAGGGACACTGATGAGTTTTCTCCAAAATGTCAATCTTTGTATGAAGTCCAACAATTTTTTGCTCCAATTTGGATCAAAATAATGCTAACAATATATTCTGACTAATCAGATAACCTTGAAATGGTATCCTAGCTACTTTTATATTGACAATAAAGTTTTACGATTGTGAGATTGTCTAACAACAAAACTTTTGAGAAGCCGCAGTAGTTTTAACATTTACTGAATACCTGCTTTCTTACTCGAACATATTTTATAAATGTATTACTTTATGTATTGTGCTATGTTTAGGGTTGCTAGCTTAGTAGTAAGTCATAGCAACTCTTAAGCCACAGTTATACTGGTGGTTGACTAAGGGCTCAAGTAAATTCTAACATTAAGCAAGCAGAATTGCATGAGTTGCAAGTCGTGGATCAGCACCTTCAAATATGAGTCCATGGTCCTCAGTCAGAAAAGAGCGAGAATAATAGACAGATCGGTACAGCTTCCGCAGTTTTGCAGACTCTGTACCGGTCTGTTGTAGTGAAGAGGGAGCTGAGCTGTAAGGCAAAGCTCTCTGTTTCCCGATCAGTTTATATCCCTAACCTCACCTTTGGCCACAAACTTTGGGTAGTGACTGGAAGAAGGAGATCACGGATACAAGCGGTCAAAATGAGTTTTCTCTGCAGGGTAGCTGGACTCTCCCTTAGAGATAGGGTGAGAAGTTCAGTTATTCAGGAGAGACTCTGAGTAGAGCTGCTGCTCCTCCACATCGAGAGGAGCCAGTTGAGGTGATTTGGGCAACTAGTAGGAATGCCTCCTGGACGCCTCCCTAGGGAGGTGCTTCAGGCATGTCCAACAGGGAGGAGACCCAGAGGAAGACCCAGGACACACTGGGGAGACTATGTCTCTCGGCTGGCCTGGGAACGCCTTGGCGTCCTCCCAGAAGAGCTGGACCAGATAGCTGGGGAAAGAGAGGTCTGGGCTTCCCTGCTCAAGCTGCTGCAGCCGCTACCAGACTTGGGATAAAGCGGAAGATAATGGATGGATGGACAGACGGACAGATGGATGGACAGATGGATAAATGAGTTGCATTTATAACTGTACCTCTGACATGCAACATTTACTGCAGGCATAAAAATAGCTAAAGTAGCAAGATTGGCACAAGAAGAGGAGTCATAAACAGGAAGTACAGCACAAAAAATAACTATAGTCTAATTGTATGCAAGGATTTTTAGAAGTTTATGTAATATTCACAAAAGTTTATTGAAATATTGATATATTTTCTTTTTGGCAGTATTTATCTGGCATTCTTTTACTTGACACCACATTACATGCATATGCACTACACTATAACAAAACTGTCACAGAATTTTGTGTGTCATTTGTTTCAGTGCTCAAACACAACCTTTGTCAAAGTTAACTAAATAGAGCAGTCATTTCATTCAGTGAACCTATTCTGAATGCTCCCAATCAGGAGCTTGTTAAAATGTCCAGTGATTTTCTCTTCTTTTTGGTGGGGGTGGGGTGGGGTGGGGGGGCTGTCAGAGCATGTTATGCCCTCTGCACTGTTTGCTATGTCAGTGCATCTAAAGCTTATTTTTTATTACTCATGCATACCAAAGAATATTGTGTAAATTATGAATACAAAACAATCGCTATTTAGTTCCATAAAGTTTTAGATAATGAGATGTTTTGAATCTCATTCATTACGATTTCATCTGATTGTTTAAAAGGGCACTTTGCATCAAATATTACAATGGAACTGAAGCTAAATG